GGAGGAAATTGCTTTTAAAAAAAAAAGATGCCAAGGCAGATTATGATGACTGTTTCCACCTGTCCTGGGTAACGCATACGGTCTCTGCTGCTGGATAGGGTGCGAGGGGACTCGCACGGCGAGGGCTGCAGGAGGGGCATCGTCCCCACCAGACCCATCCTGGGTCCATCCAACAGCCTGTGGTGGCTGGGGCTAACCATGAGTATTTTCCTCTTCCCGGGGACTGGGGAAGGATTCATCATCATGCGTATGGACAAGGATAGCTCTAGCCCAGTGGAAATAAAAGGTTCAGCCCCTACCAGCCGCTGCCAGTGTTTTTCCTGATGCCCAGAGCCAGGTGTGGCTGTGATTGCAGGTAGGAATTTCTCCCAGGAATTCATCTGATCCCTTTGGGAGCCTGTTCCTGTCTGTGGCCCTCACACCACCCCGTGGCAGCTGTTGCAGAAATGCTTTCTTTGCCTTGTTACACAGACAAGAAGACTGCTGTGCTTGTGACAGGGCTGGGAGACCTTGGGGTGAGCACTCACCCAGCTGAGACCTCCAGCCCCAGCCACCAGCTAGGGCAAACTGACCGGCACAGACCCATCCCCATCAGCCAGTCCCATCCCGCTCCTCCCGACACGGGTGGGCTTGGCAGGGGTGATGGTGCGGTGGGAACGCGCTGTGTCCCCCTGCTCACCCCCTGCTGTCACCTGGCCCTAATCCAGACACGAGGCTGCGGGTGCTGCAGGCGCAGTGGGAGTTGCGGGATCTGCATGACACGCTGCGGGCTATCTCCCATACAAAAGGTGCAACTATAAGCAAAATCTGGTGCTATTTCTGCATGCTTAATGGTTCAGGGATGTGAAGAACTCCCTAAATATTCACTGCCCATTTTAAGTGCTGATGGCAGAGGACAGATGGACTCGTGAGCAGAGCCGCCGGTGCTGTGTGGGCACGCTGGCTCCTGCTTGCTCTCCCCACCCGCTGAATTGCCCACAGGTCTGAGCAGGCACAGATCCCGGTCAGCTGGCTTGTCCCCATCCGCACGCCATGGGCTGGGATGCTGGCTCTGCCACCGGCCCCATCCAGCAGCTGGGAAACGGGCAGGTGTCGGCTTGGGATCCAGCTTGTCTTCCTCACCGCCCTCCGAGTTCCTCCTAACTGCCTGGAAGGCAAACCACTGCAAGCTCTTCCAAAGCCAATTAAATCTTGAAAGAGATTTCCTGACCGTGAGGGTCACCTGTGTCGCTCGGAGAAATGAAACCCGCAGCTGGAGGGCTGAGAAGGACCAGAATCAATGCAGTGCAGCAGGAGCTACCTGCAAAATCGCCCTGAGGAGCTGCAGCATCCCCAGGGCATGCGATCAGCAGGGTGACCCTTACAGGACGACAGCGAGCGATCCTGCAGAGGACAACAAATCTGTGGGAGAAGGATTAGCCAGCTCGGGTGATCTTACAGAAAAGCTTATAGGGGCAGAGCAAGCCATGGCCCCTCTGCTGTGTCCCTGCTGGCTGCATGCTCCAGCTGGACGGGCTGGAGCAAGGAGCTGATGTGCCACCGACAGCTCCTTCCAAGGCTTTTTCGGGGCAGTGGCAATTGCGTGTGTGACGTGGTTTGATTGCCACATTGTTAGACCGCTGACTTGGAGGTTTGGGCCACCACCCCTCCATCCTAACATCTCCAGGCTGCAGCGAGATAGCAGAGCACTGACCTTTCTAGTGTTGTTTTTAGTTGCTGTAATTGTTTTAGGCGAAAAAAAGACCTATTTGAGTGCTCTTGGAGAAGACTGTGCAGAGGGTGGCAAGGAGAAGTGCCCCTCGCTGCCCACCTGAGACCCCCCCTCCGTGCTCCTCCTTGTCAAACCCCCCTTTGGCTCAAACCTGGTCTACCGCCGCGTGGCCAGGGAGCCCCCGTGCCGAAACAGGGTCCTCCCTTGGGAGAGCTCGGGGGGACAAGCAGGACCTAGGGTCCCCAGGGAGACTCTGGCACACAGCATCCCTGGAGCCCCATCCAGGAGGTCCCACATGGGTCAAGCCCTGGCTGGGGGCTGCCCGATGACACCGAACCACGAAGGTTTGATGCAGGCACGGTGGTTGCTCGGTGGCTTTGCCAGAGAAGCCTGGGCAGTGGTTTCAGCAGCATTTGCAGATTACTCTGCAATTGCACTTAACTCCCAAAGTTGTTTGCCCCTAACTTGCACTGAGAGTTTAGGAGACTGAAATAATCCCATGCTTATCTGCTAGCGACGCGGCACTTGCAGTGCTATTACGCAGATGCCATTTGGCAATTACGGTGAGAGAAAATGGGCAGCGGTTAACACATCATCGAGGAGCAGCTACGAGGCCCTTCAATGCAAACCAGTGAGCACTTTTTGCAGGCTCATTTGCAAGAGACGGGGGCAATGTTTTGCCCTGAAATCCCTCGACATCTTCACCCCCTTGTTTTCTTTATTGGTATTTATTCTGAAAGGCTCTAGAAATATCAGTGCTATTTACACAGACTGGGTGCTGGGTTTGACATGGACCAGAGGAGGAGGAAGAGAGGATTACATGAAGAAGGCGAGTGCAGTTTAAAAAACAAATATTAGGGAGAAGAAATTGTAGGACCCCATGTTGCCTCTCGGGACACCCCCGGCATCTCTCTAGAGCATCTCCGAGGGCTCTGTCCCTCATTCCCGGAATAAATTCCCACTGGCTCCACCAGCCTCCGGGTGCCAAGGACACAGATGCCCTGCCAGCTCTCACAGGCTCCCTCGCACCCCATGAACCACCCCCAGCATCAGCGGGGTTGTGGCAAGGAGAGCGGAGCCTGGCATCGGGACACATCATGGGGCCAGGGCCACGGTGACACTGGCTGTCCCACACGTGCTGTCTCACGTGTGCAAACCTCAGCCGCGGTGTGGAGTGGGGCTGGGATCTCACCCAGCTGCTCCTGGGATCATCGGGGTGACGTGCGGAAAATTATGTCTGCTGAGATTCTTTTGACTCCCCTTGTCTCAGGGGTTTGAAAAAGTGTATGGCAAGGGCTCTGTGATCCCTAGGGAAAGCGGTGGGAGAGATGTCCTTCCAGGAGGTCTGCTACCCATGCCGTGACGTGCGTGCCATGCCGTGGGAGCACTGGAGTGGGTGAAAGCAAGACCAGGGGACTGGCTCTCCTCCCCAAGCATCACCTCACACCCTCTCACCCACTGTGGGAGCGGGGCCATCATGTGTCGGAGGGGATTTGAGGTTTTCAGAGGAGCTGATGAAAGATAAAATGAATAACAAAGCACCTTCTGGATGGCTGCTGTTAGTCACACTCACTTCTGATTAAAGATCATTAAACATGAAATTAGCTCGTTTGTGTTACGGGTCTCCCGGGGGTTCCTTTAATTAGGAAGTGCAGATGGCCACGGACCTGGGGAGATGGCAGCGCCGGCGAGGGGCAGGGGTGTGCACGGGGCCGGGAGCAGCGCGAGGAGGGCATCCAAAGAGAAATTTTTTTTTTCCTTTTCTTGTTGTTGTAACCCCCTCAGCATTTCACAACAAATCACAGATAATTAATAAGTACATCCCCTTAATGACTAGGCTTTTTAATAGCAGAAATTGGAAGATGCTGCGTTGATTTTTTTTCACTTTCCCCTCTTGGTGCTGCCTTATCGCTGTGATTAGAGTCGCAGAGCCCATGGGAGGCACTGGCCCGTCTGCCCAGGAGGATGCCAAAACTGCCCTTTGCAATCCCCATCCCGGGGGGCCATTGGCCACGCAGCCCGCCAGGGTCCCCCTGCCACCAGTGCTCCGGAGAGAGCAGCATCCCCGCTCCAGGGGCTTTGCCACCTCTTGGCGGTCTTGTGTCTTAACAGCCTGGAGAAGCAGCAGCAAACTGCTCTAGGGAGCAGGTTTGTGGCTGGAGGATAACACCGGCGAGGGGTTAGTGAGTGCCAGCTCCCAGTGGGGCCAGGACGGTGGAGCGGTGGTGTCGGCTGCCTGGCAAGCTGCTCGGACCTCCTGGTGCCTTTCTCTGGCACGAGCCCGTGGCCGGGCTGGGCCGGGTATCGTGGTGGCATCGGCCCCGGCACAAGCCCGTGGCCGGGCTGGGTGCCGCAGTGGCAGCAGCAGAGCAGGAGCGGGGAGGACGGGGATGCAGTGAGCGCCATTAAGGTTTTGGCTGGGTTTCTGTTCTAGGCCCAGATCGCTTTCCTCCTTAGATAAGAACAGCAATAATCATCCCAAAGCGCTGCCTGTGCACGCAGGGAGGAAGGCTGGTTTGCGCGGCGGCAGCTGACGGCTGATGGAGTGGCAGACATGTTAGCGCTGCAACGGCTGCCGGTGCGCCGGCATCGCGCTCGCGTCCCGGCACGCAGAGAAGAGTCTCCGAGTGCCCTTTAATTACCCCTTCTGATGGCACACGAAACGCTGTTGTGACAGCATTGCTGCTCTCCGAATTGCCTCTTTAGGAATTTTATCAGCTGCCTCGCGTCCTGACACGCAGGGAAGAGGAATCCGAGCAGACCTTTCTGCCTAAATAGGCTCTAAATACCCCGAAATAACAACGTGCATTTCTCTGCAGAAGTGAGGCCGCTCTTCTCCCCGTTTCTGCCATGCGGGGAGGGGAGCCTGTGCCCGGCTCTCCTGTGGCTCCCAATGCTTGCAACATGACCGAAGCATCCCGGGCACAGGGACACGGTGCAGCCTCCCACCCGGTGGCAACGCAGAGGCCGCAGTCACGCCGGTGGCACCGTCACCGGGCTGTTTGGCCGTGGCAGAGGCTGCGCGTGGCCCCACGCTGCGGCTTGGCGACAGCCGTGAGCGGAGAGAAGCGTGGCAGGCGGTGGCCGGTCCTTGGAGGGCGGATGAGGGGGATGTGGGGTCCCGACCATGTCCCAGGGACGGCGTGGGGCGGGCAGGGTTCAGTCCCCAGCGATGTGGTGGCTGGCAGCAGCATGGCGGAGGCGCTGAGGGGGACAAGTAAGGGGGAGGGACCCCTCCGCCATCCCTGTCCCTGCCCGGCACTAACTCAGCTCTCCCTTTCCTCCGCAGGAGGAAGACATCGAGTACTACGACTCCAAGGCTGACACTGAATACGTGAGTACCGTCCCTGCTGCACCGCCAGCACGGTCACTGCCCCGTCCCGAGGCTGAGCCCCTTGCCGGGGCTGGGGCGCGTGGCGCGGCGTTCATTACAGCCAGCGTAACAAGATTCTGCGGTGGGCAGCGAGTGCCTGGTGCGCAGCCCTGTCCCCCCCAGGACGAGCCGTGGCGGCATCTGTCTGCCAGCACCAGGCCTGGCAGCAGGCGGGGGGGGCAGGTCGCTCCGCTGCCTGCAAAAGTTTCTAAAATTAAAGCTGGCATCTGAAATTCAAATGAAGAGCAAACCTTTAATTAGAGACTGTATCTAATTCTCTGCCCCCCTCCCAGCACAGCCGTCCTGTGATTTCTGGCAATCAGCGCTTTAAATACAGACCCAACAGCTCCGTTCTCCCGGCGCTCCCGAGGGAGCTGGCATTTGCCGGCTCCTCCGCGCAGTGACGGTGGTGGCACTCAGGTGCCGTGCCGTGGCCGCCGGCAAAGGCTGCTGCCCCGTGGCACCCCACTTTGCTGGCAGGTGACGGGTCACCTGGCTCCTGCGTTGTGCCATGCCGTGGGATCCTTCCAAAATAGGGGCTCGCCGGGTCAGTGATGCTCTTGGCGCGGTGCTGCTGGGGAGCGGGTGTGCCGCGGTGTCCTCGGAGCTGGCCAGGAGCCCCCAGCAGAGCAGGGTGGGGGCTTCGGAGCAGCCCCAGCCAGTGCCAGTGCCCCCGGCCCACTCCTTGCCCCAAAGCAGAGCCGGCAGCAGATGTGCCGTGAGGAGACAGGTACGGCAGTGGGATGGGAGCAGCGGCAGCACGTGGCATTGGCAGCAACCTGCTTGCAAGCCACATGGCCTCGTCCAAAAAATAATGCTTGGGTGACCCTGCAAGCCTTCAGAAGGTGCCGTGCAGAGGGGAGGGGAGGATCGGGGCTTGGTGGGGTCCCACCAGCTCAGGCGACACGCTCTGTGCAGAGCTCTGGGTGTCCTCTCACCCCTCCTTGGAGGTGATGCCCCAGAGCAGAGCTGGGGGCAGGCTGGAGCAGAGGATGGGTGCCGGCAAAGCGGTTACTGTCAAGCCACCGGTGCCATCGTCCCCAGGCGGTGACAGCAGGAGGGCTCCTTGGCAGGGGACGACGGAGCGATGGAGAGTCTGGGAGGTGGGATGGAGAGGTCGGGCAGATGCTGTGACCAAAGCGGAGGGCTCTTGCTTTCCCGAGCAGGTCTCCCTGCTCAGGGTCCCTCTCATCTGGAGCAGGGGATGTCTCCTGTCCCTCCCCAGCCAGGGGGAAGCTGCCAAAGGAGGGAGGGGAGGATCCTGCTCTCCATGGCTGCTCCAGAGACGACAGAGCTAATGGGCTTAAAATGCATTAAAGTGGATTTTGGGTAGAAATGGAGGGAAAACTGGCTGGCGGTCAAAGCAAGAGGATACAGCCCAGGGAGCAGGGCAGCTCCCTGCCCGGGGGACCGAGGAGCAGGACTGATGTATCCATCGGGCTGGGCAGAGCATTTGCCATCACTGCTGTGGGGCAGGGGACAGGGGAGCTGGACGTCCCCATACCCAGTGTTACCCTGACTGGTCCCAGCTGCCCACACCCAGCCGGTGTCAGCAGCAGTGATCCAAGCTGGCAGCTCCTGGCTGTTAGCTTTGGGATTAGCCGTTTCTGCAAGTGAGGAGAGCATCCTGGTCACATTAGGCAGGATTAGGAAACAGGAGGCATCTCAACCTCGGAGCTCTGCCCGCTGAGCCCTTCTGGCGCACGGGGCACCGGGAAGAAACCGCGCACTGCAGCGTGGTGCAGTGTCCCTGAGGGCTGCGGGGCTCAGCCCCCTGGTCCCCGGCCCTTCCCCAAGGGAGGCGGCGTGTCATCGAGGAGGAACAGCTCTGCAAATCCATGATCAGCCACACCGACGTCAGTCCCCCTCTGGGGAAAAATCAAGCAAAATTGGGGGTGTCCTCTTGCTGAGGTTTGTGGGTTCACCAGGGAGGGTTCTTCCCCATCAATGCCATTGCTGCTTCCCAGTGAAATCCCAGCAAATTTAATTCCAGCAAAAATAATGAAGAGAAAGAAGGTGATGCTGCAAGAAAAAAGTAGGGAGAAGATACCAGAAGATCTGAATGGAACTAAATAACGCTCTTTCTGTCTTTTCTTTATTTAGCTTCAATTTTTATATTTAAATTGGGAAGGATCTAGCTGAAATCGAGTCGTTCTGATGGACAATGCCTATTCAACGTAACTGGGGCTTATTCACAAGCTTTACACAGGCTTTAACTACAGTGAAAGAAATGAGCTTCCTATTCATTTTGCTTGCACCTCAGCTCCGCTATCTTCCTAAACAGATTTTGGATTTCCAAGTGGTTTTTAACAAATGGGAACATCAGAAAATTTTCCTGAGGGTCCCTAAGGCTCTCAAAACGTTTGCAGAAGCGGAGAAGTTTTCCCCTTTCCCCGCTAGCAAGAGCTATGGGGTTTATCTGGGGAGAAGCGTTCAAATCAGCAGACGCTCTCGGTTGGGTGTCACAGGCAAAACAACGCAGAAATAAAGTAATTTTCCATCTTCAGTATTGCATTTATGGCAGGGGATGATGCTTAAGTCACAGCTGAGGCCAAAATCCCCTGGGATGTACCATTCTCTGGTGGAAAGCAGCACAGCTCCGTCAAGGTATCCTCACCCCACGGTCAGCCCTCTGGCACCCACCTGCTGTAGGTCCCCGGGGAGGGCTGAGAGTGAGGGGCTGGTGGGGGGGGCTCTGTGCCAGCCTCAGCACCCTCCAGTGCAGGAGAGGCAGGGGAGAGCGTGGCGCCAGTCCCGGCCGCAGGCAGGGGCTGCAGGCAGGGGCTGCCTGCTCGCTGCTCGCCCCGCTCGGGAGACGCAGCGAGGAGAGGGAGGAGGGAAAAGAAAGCCCCTAAATGTCAGCAGCAGATGAAGGGTGTTGGAAAATTTAATCTTCCAACTTTCTCAACTAATGTGACATTTGGATTTCCTCCCGATAAGCTATCAGCCCCAGAAGTTTCTTTCTTTTGCCTTTTTTCTTTTTCTTTTTTTTTCCCTTCTTCTCTCCTCTGGCTGGTAATTTAAAAATAAATGGTCTAGAAAGATCTCTAAACAGTACCTTTGGCAAAGATTAAAAAAAGCTAAGGGGGATAGGGGAGCAGGCTGGCGGGAGAGGCTGATTGTTATTTATAACCTGGGCTGCTATAAAAGCAGGAATGTGGCTGGAGAACACACCATCTCCCTCCCTGGTATTAAATTGCCGCATTTCAGGAAAAGCTGAGATATTTAAGAAGGAGAAGGGCCCTTTTGCACGGGCCTGGAGTTTCTCAGCCACGTGCCGGGGGCTGGCATTTATATTCATTAGTAGTAGTAATCATGGTGTGTTGATATGAATATTTCGCTGGCTTTTCCAGACTTAACATGGACGAGTGCCCCTGGGAAATTTAAAAGGATGTGTTGGGATCTCAGTGAGATATATTCTTGATCGGGCATATGTGGGGCAGGACGTGGGATGCAGGGATGCTGTCCGGGTGCTGCGGCTCGCAGGAGCTCTGCTGGTGCCGGGGGTACCGGTGGAGCACCGTGGGGGAAGGCCGTGGCTACCCGGCTTGTCCGGAGCTGCGAAACCCCAGCTGGCATCCCGGAGCAGCCGCCGGATCGGCCCCGTGTTTGTCATCAGTGCTGCCATTTAAGCAGTCATCATTAGCTGTGATGGTTCGTTCCCATGGAGATGAGCAATGAACGGGGGTGTCTGCATCCACAGGAGCTGCCTGGCCAAGGCATCGCTGCTGTGCCAGGTCACATCCCCGGCTCGATCCGCAGCTCCGAACCCCGTCGCTGGTGGGGACCCCCCAATAGTCCTTGTGCCCGTGGGCAGGCTGGCTCTCCTCAGCCAGCACCAGCCTGGATGTGATGGTGGGCAGGTACTTGCCGAGAGCGTGCCAGCCTCCAGTAAAGCTGTTGGGTGGTGCCACTGGTGCTCACTGGGTGTTGGGGCATCCCTGGGTTTTGCCCCCTGTCTGTCGTTTTGGGAGGCTCAGGAGAAAACATTTGACTGGCAACCCAGCTGCTAAAGCACTGAAGATGGCAAAAGCTCTTGGCGCGTGATGACTTCTCGCTGAAGCAATAAATATGTATAATATTGATATATTGCCATGGAGTCGATTTCTAATGGTGTGTAGCAAATAATATATTCAAACTGTAGCATCTATTTGTGTTACGTTGTACATACTCTAACAGAAAAATAGATGTTTCCAAGTTCTTTTGAAATGTAATGATGAGAAATGCTGCAAAATCTGGCTGGGGGCCTGCCGAGATGCTCGCAGTTAAACTGGTGTAAATCCAGGAGAACTTGAATCATCTTCTCCTTTGCTCTAATATAAATTTAATGCAGAATTTCTTCCTCCGGCCTTCCCAAGGTGGCAACTTGTAGCCCCAGCCTAGCATCCCTGCCTGGGCTGGTGATGGCTTTGCCTGCTTTCATCCGCGTGGAAATGGCCCCCTTTCAGGAGCCAAATTCAGCCTGGCTTAAACAGGAATAACTCGGTTGAGGTCGGGAGATTTACGGATAAAGGATAAACGTAGCTTGGATAACATCAGCTCTTTCCGTGGGTCTGTTTGCTGTATAGGTGTCAGTGATGCATGAAGTGTCCTACGTATAGCTAGCTGTATATTTGTCTCTGAGATCTATACATATGCCTCTTTACAGCTACATGAATGAGAGCAGCCAGACAGCGCCGAACCTGGCAGAATACAAATTAGCCCCTCAGAAGTGGGTGATATAACGGAATAATGATAAACAGAGGAGCAGTAATTATATACAGTAGTTCCAGCTCTGGTGAAGTGCAGAATAACCATGCCAGTGTGGGGGAAATAAGGAGGGTTGGATTTTCCTGGCTGCAGCGGGGGACAGCGGATGGGCTGGACCCGGACAGGGCGCCCCGATGATTTGAGATGGGGAGGGGTGGGGAAGTGACACCAGGACTCTGCTGGGCTCGTTAAAAAAGGGTTCTAGTGTCAAAGCAGAGGTTTTGGTGCTGCAGGTACCCTCGGGGCCACAGCTGTATCCCGTCTAAAGCCTGTTTTCAGCAGGCGCCTCTAAATCACTGTCTGGTACTCGGAGAGGTTGGTAGGGATGAACTATTATGAGTGCAACCGCTTTCCCCCAGGGACCTGAGCCCCACATTAATGGCAAGTTTGGGGCCGGATCTGCTCTCCAGATAGCCCACGACCTGGCTGCTATGGGCATGCAGCCAGTTTGCTGGCTCTGCTGTGGCATTGCGGCTTTGCAGGGGGTCCGGCAGTAGGGTTTGTGCCTTTTCTTCAGATCTACATGAAAATGAGAGGGTAATCTGGATTTTGATCTTGGCGATGTTGCTCAGGGGAGGTGGGGACAGTCCCTGCCCGACTCCCACTTGGCTACTGCGGCTGTAGTTGAGTTCAGCAGCTTTCTGGGCAGCTGGAGCCCCCATGCCAGGATCGGCTCGGCAGCGTGTTTACACTCGCAATCCGTCGGCTGGAATTAAAGCCCAAACCTTGCATATCAATCCTGTTATTCTTCCGAGCTGTGGCGAATGGTTTGGCCACCCCTCGCAATGTCAGGGGAATGTCACCGCCTCGGTGGCTGGCCAGAGCTGGCGCAGGGGAGGTGGCATCTCTCCACGTCATCTGCAGAGGGGAAACAGGGAGGAGGCCAGGGTGGATTTTAAACGAGCTTTGTAGCTTATTTCCCCTACACATCATTTTTCTTTAAATATATGGCTTTTCCCATGAGAAATTCAGCTCTTTTGTCCCCTGGGTTTTGTCAAGAGGAGCCTGGCCGGTGGGAGAGCTGCTTGCATGGGCCCATCAAGGACAGCAGGATGGGACTGTTCCCTACCCTTCGGCCCCGCTGGTGCCGGGGTGCTTTGCCACGGGACGGCATGGGGCGTCCCTCCAGGCAGCCATCCCCACACAAGCCCTGCCTGGAGCTGCTCACACTTCCAATCACGTCCGCTGTCCTTTCTGCAGGGCTGATCTCTGCTACCACAATCAGATGGCCTTACGCAGGCTCCGAGATAGGCACTTCACTCGGGGGGGAGGCACAAAGGGAGAGGCACTGAGCTGCTTCACGAGGGGAATTTGCTCCCTCGCCGGGCGGCTCGGCAGCCAGATCCGCTCCTGCTCTGCCACCCCCAGCGCTGCCCCTTTTGCTCCCACAGCCAGGGACCAGGGGAAGGTGGCTGGAGCCGTCCTGTGCCCCAGCTTGGGCTTGGCGTGTCCTTGCCCTTGCGTTGCCTGTCCCTGCCCGCGGATGAGGCAGGCGTCTCTGCCCCTCTTCAGTGGAGATGTAGCTCCAGGGGCACAAAGGGCAGGTGCTGCAGCATCCTCGTCCTCCTCCTCCTCCTCCTCCCCACCCTGAGCATCTCACAGCCAGCTGCAAACAGCCTTCTGCAGCCACTGGGCCCATGGCAGGGATGCAGCAGCTCGGAGCCAGCACCTTCTCCCGGGTTTCTTTGCTCCCAGTGGGATGGTGGAGGCGATTTCCCCAGCTCTGTAGCAAGGCCACCCCCTTTCTCCTGCTTCCCGTGTGACCCTGCACCTCAGCTCCAACCCTGTCCCCCTGCCTGCAACCACCCGACCATCCTGCCTGCACTGGCTCAGCCCTGCCCTGCCTCGCCGGAGGGGTTTTACCTCCAGTGCCATACTTCTCCCTGGGAAGGGAGAGGAGGGCTGGGAAGGCGAGGGAGTGCGTTCCAGCGCCAGCAGTGGGGAATTCGCCGTCTCTCCACCATAATTAAATATTGTTTGCATTGCTTATTGACAGAGCGTTAAGCTGCACTCCGTTTTAATTTGTTCTTTGATAGTTGCCTTTTGCTGCTAATTGATTTTCAAGGGTTTTTTTTGATTTGGGGTTTTTTTTGTCTGATGTAATACCTGCCGTGCTGACAAAGCCAGAGAGGCAAAGGTAACCGGTGCTCATCTTCGTGTCCACTCACTCCCAGCACCCGCTCCCCTGTGCCACCGGTGCTGGCACAGGCTGCGGGCAACATCTGGCATGAGAGCCAGCATTGTCGGTGTCCGCAAGGGGATATTTGGTGATGGGCTTTGGGCGGTGGCATTTCTGGCATGCATGCAGGGCTGGCACCCCCAGCTGACCCCGTGCGCTCTGCTCCTTCCCCAGGATGATCCCGATGGAGAAGAGATCGAGAGGGAGAAGTCCAACTCCTTGAAGCTGGAGTTCACTGATGACGCCAACTTCAAGACCAAGGTTAACTATTCGTACGCTGCCGTGCAGATCCCCACGGACATCTACAAAGGCTGTGAGTGCCCCTCCTCACCTGCTCTGCTCTGCGCTGCCAGGCCAGGCTCAGCCTCCACCTCTCCTGCTCAGGGTACCGCAGCCCCGGGGACCATCACCCTGGGGTGCCCCGGCTGGGTCTCGCTGCCAGGGCAGGCTGGCTCCCAGCCAGGCAGGCACCGAGAAGAGGCAGAGTCACCATGTCAGGACAGAGGTGACAACATGTCCCTCCCCAGGGATGCTCAAGAGCTCAGCACCAGCCCAAGGGGCAAATCAGGGGTTAGGGGTTATTAGGAAGGGATGGAGAGCAAAGGAGAAATGGTAATTACGGCACAGGGTAAAGCTCAGCTGCGCCCACATGGCTGTGATCCTCCCTGTAGAAGAGCTCAGCAAAGCTTGAGGAAGTTCAAAGCGGGTGCCGGAGACGATCAGAGGGACGGAGCAGCTCTGTGCAGGAGCAATTACAGAGGCGGCACCTCCCTGCTCACAGAAGGGACCGAGACGGGGCTGGGCCATGGGAGAGGGTGAAGCAAGGATGCTTCCTCACTGGCTCCGGGCTGCTTGGGGCTGAGGTTATGAAAAGGGAGAAAAAGTAGCTGAAGTGCTGCAGGAAGGCAGCCGAGGGCGACTGCAGGACAGTGCGATGCCACCCCGGGGCAGTCCCTGCTGCCGGGAGCGTGCGGGGGGGTGTCAGCCCCACGGCCGTGCCCTGTGGCTGCCGGAGGAAGTGGGCTGCTCCAGGCAGGAGAATGGATGGATAGGATAAGATGTGCCACACCAGCTTCAGTCCCTGCCGGGAGGTGACACAGTCCCTGAGCTTCCAGAGCTCTCTGCTACCTCGCCCTGCTGCGGTGGCACATGGTGACAGCGGTCTCCATTTCCCTCTAGTGGCTGCTCTGCACTGAGCTGGGGACCACTCCCAGCCGGAGATCATCCTCCAGCACCCAGGCTCCACATCCCGCACCCACCCCCAGACCCTGCTGTTGGGGGGCACCCCTTGTCTCCCCGCACCGCCGAGGGCACCACTGTCCCTGCACTCCCTTGTTTCGGTGGCGTTTGCCGAGGGCTCCCGTGTAGTCACGGTGGTGACGGGGGCTGAGCTCGTGTTCCTGCCCTGAGCGGTGCTTTACGGGTACACGGGCTCGTTACCGGCACGGCCATGCTCAGAGCCGCATCAGCGTGACGATTTCACCGCGGCGGTGGCAGCGGATTAGAAATTTGCAATTAGTTTTATTACCCAGCTAACGCAGGCCAGGCACCTAATGAAGCACATCATGCAAGCGGGGTGGGCTGCATGGGATGAAATACTCATTATTCCTCACCCCTGCTTGCCAGCCGATGGCATGGCTGATGGCCTGCCACGGCCACATAAATCACCCCACTCGGCCATGGGACAAGAGCAAATTGGAGATTAACATGCTCATGGGTGCTGAGAGGGATGCTGGAGAGGGGACAGGGGTGGGGGGGGGTCGCAATGGGGGGAACACCCTCCCAAAGTCCCTTCCTAGCCAGGGAAAGGGGCCGCAGCCACGGGCACAGCAGCGCATGGGCACAGGGATCAGACCATGTCTGGCCACACTGGCGTCCTCCAAAAAGCCGGGATGCAGGGCAGGGTGCTCAGCTGCTGCACCCCGGAGAGCAGGTTTGGGGTGCAGGCACGGGGCCACCCATGTGTCCTCTCCTGCTGGGGACACCGGCGAGCGTGGCCGGTGCCCGCAGAGCTGCAGGCAGGGAGCATCTCCCCGGTGGGACCCGGCGAAGAGGCACTATCGCTGCCTGGCACGCTAATTAAACCACTGCGGAGACGCCCTCCGCCGTCACCCCTCGCTACACACACAAATTACATCCTATATGTGTTTTATTTACTGTGCCATTTTTAATTAAATCTGCAATCGCTCGCTGGTGGGGCGGGGCTTGGCTTACCCTGATGGGGACAGCAATGAGATGGGGACAGGGATGGGAATGTCTCCGGGGGGGCTGGCAGCTCTGGTCTCAGCTGAGGGGGTCAGGAGCCATCCCGACCACAGACACCCATCTGGTGAGCAATAGCTCATCGTTCCACGCACAGGGAATGTATAGGGGCTGCGTTTGTGTGCAGGGAGGGTATAGGGGCTGCGTTTGTGTGCAGGGATGGTATGGGGGCTGTGTTTGGTCACAGGGATGGTCTAGGAGCTGTGTTTGCGCTCAGGGATGATATACGGGCTGTGTTTGTGTGCAGGGAGGGTATGGGAGCCACATTCGGCACAAGCCTGGTGTAGCTGACGGGCCCCGAGGGCCTGGGGGTGCAGACAGTGCCGGGGCTGTTGGGACATGTCCGTGCCCAGCCCGGTGCCCGGCCAAGGCTGGCAGCACTGCCCAGGGCTGCTCCAGGCAGGCAGGAGACTGGCAGCCTGCTCGTGGCCCCTTCTCCTGGGAAAAACCACGTCCTGTGACAGATCCAAACAAGAAATCATCCTCAGTGCCCAGATAACAGCTCTCTGTGTAGGCACGGTGCTGAGAAATGGCTGGGGAGATATGGATGGAGTAAATTGTAGTTTGAAGGCACAGCTGTCTGAGGGAAGGAGAAGTCTTCTTCAGCAGGGGTGCTGGGATGGAGGGATCCGTGATTCACCCTGGGTGAAACCTGTCCACATCCCGCCAGCACCTCGGGTACATGGCGAGGACTTGAACGGGTGATGACAGCGTTTCAAGGAGGGACAAGTGTGGGAGGAAGCCTTAGGAGAGCTAAATATACTACTCAAATGCACACCGGCTTCCCTGCAGCACCGCACTGGTTGCTCTGCCCAATGCCGAGGAGACGGGCTGCTCCTGGGAGCTCTTGCACCCCAAAAATGCATTGAGGCTCCCCCAGGAGGGAGCAGCTCTTGGCCTCGGGGTGCTGCCAGCTGCCCACTCCTGCCCGCAGCGGCTCAGCTGGCTCCTCCACGCCACGGTCCCGGGGTGGCCCAGCACAGGCTGCCAGGGGGTGCTGGGGCCTCCCAGCTGATCAGGGTGCCCCAAAGGGCCCTGTAAGCGCCAGGACATCGCACTGTCCCCGAGGCAGCGTCCCCGACGGCTGGCCGGCCCCATACCTGCCACGCTGCCCCCCCCTGCGCTCCGCCAGCCCCTCTTGATTAATCACAGGCTGGGGCTGCCGGCAGCTTATCTTTTGCTTTAATAGCTGAATAATTTAAAACTGCTGTTTGCTGGCATCTTAATTGCTTTTGCGTCAGGTGCGGGGGCCAGCGGGAATGCAGAGCGGGGCCCGGGAGGCTCCGCGCAGCCCCGCAGGGACACAACCTCTTGGTTTCCCAGCTGGTGGCAGTCCCCAGGGAGCAGGGCTGGCACGGTGGCGGGAGGAGTGGGGTGTTTTGCTGGGAAGGGCGTGAGATGGCAAGCTGGCTATCCCTAGGGGTGGCTGTCCCTGCCCCAGAGCCAGGGGATGGGGATGGTGAGCGCTCGGGGGAGCCCTGGAGGGTGGCTCGGGTCTTTGGGGACAAGGGACATCAGGATGATGCTGGAGCCCTGTGGGAGCGAGGGGACCGGGGGATGCGGGAGAGGCTGCAAAGCCCCTCCGGGCTTCTGCGTAGGAAGGGGCAGAGGGGACACACTGCCTCTCCCTCCCTGCCATCACTGTGGGGACACTGTGGTCCCCGTCACACCCCAGCCCACCACCAGTTCCACTGCTCCCCCCCCCCCACCCTCCCACCCGCTGGCTCTGTCTCCCGCAGCCACCGTCATCCTCAACGAGCTGAACTGGACGCAGGCGCTGGAGGACGTCTTCATTGAGAATCGGAAGGAGGATCCCTCCCTGCTGTGGCAGGTGTTCGGCAGTGCCACCGGCGTCACTCGCTACTACCCCGGTGCGTTTTGGGGGGCGGCAGGGGGCAGTTGCCGGGGGGTGGGACTGGCCAAGGGCAGCCCGGGCCCTTCTCACCATGAGATGCGGGCGAGCATCCCCTGGCACCGGCCCTGGGGGCCGCCTGGCACACGTAACCGGACTGTGCCAAAGCCCGGTTGGTGTGAGCTCCCAGCCGGAGCCTGCCGCCTCCTCGGCCCTGGCCATCCCTCTGCCGGGTCCGCTGTGTCCCCCACCCCGGGACAGCCTCACCTTACTCACCACCTGCCTTCCCCCCGCAGCCACCCCGTGGAGAGCCCCCAATAAGATCGACCTCTACGACGTGCGCAGGCGGCCCTGGTAAGGGGGTGCCAGGTGGGGAGGGGGTCCCTTCGCGGCCGGGAGCAGCCACGTCCCTCCCCTTTTCATTTCACACATGGTTGGCATTGGCAAACGGACACAGTAACACGGGCAGGGGCATCTGAGCCGTGGCTCTCGGCTCCCGCTCTCAGAAGCCATGAGCCGGGAGGGTGGCGAGAGAAACGAGCAGGCAGCGCCAGGCTGTGGTTAAGCGATAGCTGCAAGCAGCCATTTAGCCACGCACCAAGTGAGGTGAGATTGAATCACTTCCCCTTAGCCCAGGTAGACCTGCCGGCTTGCCAGCGCTAATTATCATGCTGCCCGTGGGGCTGGGGGAGCTGCGGCCCTTGTCCTGCCCGTGGTTGCTGCCTAAAAACTCGGGCATGGAGAGGAAAGTGGGTGCGGGTCTCCAGCATGTGCCCAGGGAGCCCTTGTATCCCAGGGGAGCAGCCCCTGCCCAGCCCCCTGCCCGCACTGGGAGCTGCCCCCTCTCCTTGTCAGAAAATCAGTGGCCCTGCTACTATGGTTAATTGTCCGTGATTGCTCCACATTAATTATTAATCGTTCTCCGCCGAGGCATCCGTGTGGGTTATTGGCGGGGGCGGGATTGGCAGGCCATTTCGGGGGGGCCGCTGGTGCATAGGAGGGCTACCAAGCCCAGCTAGCCCGGCTCCCTGCCCACCAGCCAGGCTAGCCACCCGCTTGCCCACCCAGCCACGGAGGAGCAGCAGCACCCTTCGTGCAGGAGGGGCAGCACGACCCCAGGGACGCCCCTTTGGGGTCCTCTCCTGCCCTCGCGCCGGGGTCCGGTGCGGCACACGGCCCTCACCGCTCCGCTGCCGGGTCCGGCAGGGACCACGTCCTGCCCGCAGCCTCGGCGGGGCCACCGGCACCGCTCGCCTGCCTTCCCCTCCCTTGATGAATGGCACTATTAACCACAGCCTTCTCCCGCGGAGCCGGGGGTATTCATCTGAGCGGGGCAGCCGGAGATGGATGCGCTGCCACAACCCATTACGGGCGGCATCTTAGTTGGGCTCCGTGCCGCGCCGACAGCCCAGCCCTGGGGAGCGGGGCAGGCACCGAGCCTTCCAGCCCCCGCCGGCTGGCAGGGAGCCTGCGGGCAGCTGCCTGCCCGTCCTGCCCCCCGCCATGAGGAGAGGGTTCTGGGGGGCTGCGGCACCCACACCAGGGCAGCCCCGGCACGCCAGCATCCCTTATCCCACATCCCGCCTGGGTAATCACTTGTAATTAGGAAACATCAGGACCTGGGATTAGCAATCAGAGCCTGCCCCTTCCCCGGTCCTCCCCAGTAATGGTGAGTAATTGATACTAACAACACACTAATTAATTTGCGTCAGGCCTGATCCTGATCAAGCCAATAATGAGGCTCCCTTGGACTTCAGCCATGGCAGGATCAGGCCCCATGTGGTGGGGCAGGAGGCTGGGCTGTGCCCGGCCATCGCTGGGACAGATGCTCAGCACTGCACCGGCTCTGTCCCACGCAGGACGGCACAGCAGGACCGGGAGCAGGACCGTGTGCTTTGAGGGGCGAGGAAGGGTTCCCTAATTGTTTTCAGGGGGGAGGATTTACGTAGTAGTATTATTTTTCCTCCTCGTAGCTAAAAATAACCTAATCAGCCTGGCCTTTGAAGCTACTAGGGGGGTAAATAGCATCTTAATATGGATGTGTGTGTCAGCATAATCAGCGTGCAGAAAAGGGCCTGCGATGATGGAAGAGTTTAGCATTTAGAGCTCATTAGGCTGATACGGTACGGAGCGGCGGGTCGCTGGCGGTCTGCCGTGCCGCGCCGTGCCGCATCCTCGCCTCCGCTCGCCCACCACTGCCTCGTCCCTGCTCCTCACTCCGGGGTCACCGCAGCCATGGGTGCACGGGCACTCTTGGCACAGCTCCCCGGCCGCCCGTGCTGTGGCAGAGCTTTGCTCTCGGGCTTCACCCAGGAGGGTCGGGGTCCCCCCCCGAAATGAGTCAACCCCGCTGACCCTCCCTCTGCACCCCGCAGGTACATCCAAGGTGCCTCCTCCCCAAAGGACATGGTCATCATCGTGGACGTGTGAGTGCATGGTGGGGGGGCGACGGTGGCACAGCTCGCCGGGGTGCCGCTGTCCACCGGTGGCCGTGGGGAAGCTGCGTGGGACAGCGCTGGCGGGGAGCCCTGTGCCCCCTCGCTGCCGAGCCCCCAGCATCCCTCTCTTCTACCAGGAGCGGCAGCGTGAGCGGCCTCACCCTCAAGCTGATGAAGACCTCGGTCTATGAGATGCTGGACACCCTCTCGGATGATGACTATGTCAACGTGGCCTCGGTGAGTGCTGCGGGGCGGGCGGCAGGGCTGTACCCCTGGGCAGCTCCCAGTTCCCCACTATGGGAGCCCTTTGCCCCCAGACCCACCTGGCCAGGGGCTCTGCAGAGCGAGAAATGCCGTTTTTTTTAATTCTTAACCACCCACCTGCCCATAAGTAAGGGAACGGCTGCTCAGGGCTTGGCTGTACGTGGTGGTGAACGAAAGCTGCCCCAATCATGGGGCGTTTGGCAGAGATGCTCCCGGGGCGATCCCAACCAGCCACCTCCTGTCTGTCACCAGCTAGTGACATCATGCCCTCCGCAGCGTTGTCACCAGCCCGTGACCTCACGCAGCACAGTGGCCGTGCCACCGCATCTGTGCATTGCTGGGCGCCCAGCCCATGCCGGCCCTCCCCTGTCTGGCCGCAAGCACGCCGGCACTAATTAACATGTCTGGCCTGGCTCCGTTAGCTGGATCGCTGCTCCTCTAATGAATGGGCCCTATTGCCAGCAAATGAAGCCGTAAGTGAGAGGCAGCACCTGCTCCCACTGCCAGCATGGTGCGGCGCGGCATGGCACGCCCGCTTGCACAAGCCCGGGGGGTCTTGCAGAAGCGAGGGTGCAGGTGAGCTGACAGCACCCACTCCTGGCAGCCATGCTGGGTGGCTCAGTGCTGGATTTGGCCCAAGCTAAGCCCTGGTCTCAGCATCGGCCATCCCTGGGACGTGGGACATGGGATGCTCCGGCTGCCTCTCACCCGTGGGAGCTGAGCGTGGTGGGTGCTTTGTACCTGCCGGGGCTGCCCCCATCCCCGTTCTGCAACCCACTCCCCTCCCTTTCGCCTCCCAGTTCAATGAGAAGGCGAAGCCAGTGTCGTGCTTCAAGCACCTGGTGCAGGCCAACATCCGGAACAAGAAGGTCTTCAAGGAGGATGTGCAGGGGATGGTGGCCAAGGGCACAACTGACTACAAGGCTGGCTTTGAGTATGCCTTCGACCAGCTGCAGAACGTGAGCTGGGGACTGGGCTGTGGGCTGGGGAGGGCAGAGTGCACCCGTGGGTGCTGGGGGCGATGGGAGAGCTCCGAGCACCCGGCTGCTGCCCAGTGCCTGGGGCTTCGGCATGCGGAGGGCTCCTTGTCCTCCTTTGCAATGCCAGGGGGGACATCCTACCCCCCGGCATGCCGTAGCTGAGGTTTTGCTGGAGCCGCTGCCCTTCCGGGTTATTAAAAGTTAGCAGGGCTGGGCAGAGGGGGCTGGATCCAGCCAGACACCGTGCCAGAGGCAAAATAAAGAAAGATGAATGGTGCTATTAGGTGCCGAGCGGCAGTAGCCACATCATTTCCAAGCAGACAGTGTCCCTTCTCCTGCCCATTCACGCCGGCCACCTCACCCAGGAGAAACAGGCCAGGAAACAAGATGGGTCAGGGCCAGCCATCCTGGCCACATCCAGCCCCGCACTGGGCACCGCTCATTCCGGGTCCGGCCTCAGGCGCTGTCTCTCTGCCCCGCAGTCCAACATCACGCGTGCCAACTGCAACAAGATGATCATGATGTTCACGGACGGCGGCGAGGACCGGGTGCAGGACGTCTTTGAGAAGTACAACTGGCCCAATAAGACGGTGAGGGGCTGTGGGTCTGTGTGCCAGGGAGGGAGACAGCTGCTCCAGCTCTATTGCCGGCTTCTGCCTCATTTGCCTCATCACCATCCTCCTTCCCCGACAGCCTGCTCCTGCACCAAGCCACTGCCCTGGTAATGGGCTGGCTGACACACCGGTGCCCTTTATAGCCAGCTCCCACCTTGGTGTGCGGGAGGCATGGGACTGAGCAGGCTGCCGGGGAGGAGATGGGGCTGGTGGGCTCCCTGAACGCCGGCCCCGAGGGGAGCACACCCCAAGCATGGGGACAGGGCTGCTGGCGGGCAGATGAACTGGCAGGAGGGTCCGCATTGCCACCCAGGAACTGGAGACCTGTGGGGTGAGGGCGTTCTGGACCAAACAGGACCCTCGGAGAGCACAGACCCCTCTGGGTGCGGTGATGGCCCAGCATAAGGACCCTTGGAGTAGGTGGCCTGGGCCAACACAGTGATGCTGGGGAACAGGACTGGCCAGGGCCACGCGAGGAGAGAGGGGCTCCCTTGCTGCCAGCACAGCCAGCGTTCGCAGGAGCCACCTTCTGCCCACCTGCGCTTGGCCATGGGCAGCTTGGTCTGCGGGCCGTGGCAGGCAATGCCACAGTGTCCCCGGGGAGGTTGCCATCAGCCGGCAGCGCCGGGCGTGGAAGACCAGGGTGCCCAGCGGATGGTCCTGACCGCCATGCTTTGCCACAGGTGCGGGTCTTCACCTTCTCCGTCGGGCAGCACAACTACGACGTGACCCCGCTGCAGTGGATGGCCTGTGCCAACAAAGGTGAGCGGGGCTGGCTCCTGGCAGGCGTGGGAGGCTGCAGGGCGCCCGGCTCACCCCTCACCTGGGGGCTAGCTCTGGTGCTCTGGTGTGTGCCGCTGCCACCAAGGTGCTGGCTGCAACCCTGGAGGACTGGACAGCCGGACAGCCAAACTGCCGGACAGGGAGAGAGCCGGCTCTCCAGCTGCCTTTGTTTTTCTTTTCCAAGGTTACTACTTCGAAATCCCCTCCATCGGCGCCATCCGCATCAACACGCAGGTACGGCAGGGTGCCCGCCTGGCAGCCGCAGGCAGAGCTGCCCTCCGGGGTGCCCTGCCTGGGGGTGCGCTCAGGCAGCCCCAGCCCCGCTGCAGAGAGCCCAAAGGCTAGCGGCGAGCGTGGCGGGGAGCTGGGGAGCCGAGCCGAGCTCTTAGGCAGGCCTCGTGCTATTGAAATAAGTAATTCATCTTCTGCAGCTCCCCATGGACTTGCTGTCTTTTGAGTGACTAATTATGAAACATCAGGCGTTAATCAGCACAGAGCAGAGCTGAGCGCAGGCAGGGAGCAAGTGCAGGCAGGGCCAACCCCAGCACCACCCTGTTCGGCAGAGCCAGGCTTGTCCACCCCACACCCCATCCCTCTGCGCCTTTTATTTATCAGATGCACACGAGGTGCCGTGGTGGGCAGGTGACAGGGGTCCCCGAGCAGGGCAGCCCCTCGGGGCAGGGCTGGCATCCGTGGCACAGGGGCTGCCCACCCGCCTAGAGGTCTGCCTTGGCAAGGTGAGCCAGGATAAGGGAAACCTGCCTGGGAGAAGATCCCGAAAGGCTGGCAGTGGCAGCCAGGGAGACAGCGGCGACATGGTCGAGGTGCGATGGAGCAAGCCCAGCCGTGGGGATGGCTGGGCGGTGGGGGGGGTGTGTGGTTGGCGCTGCCGGGCGACCCCCTGCCCTGCCTGTGCATGGCTGATGGTGAGCAGCACCTTGTTTCCATCTCGACAGTCCTGTTCAGTTCTCAGCTGGAGCCGTTATCCTCAGGTTTGGTAGCTGCCAAGCCCTGTCCCCTAGCCCAGCCTGCAGCTGGAGACCGGCACCAAGCACCCTGTTAATAATCTCTGGGACGTGCATGGGGACAGGAGTGTCACTAGGTTGGAGCAGGGAGGCATCTGGCTCCCATGTCGTGTCTGTGCTGTGTCCTTGCAGGAGTACCTGGACGTGCTGGGCAGACCCATGGTCCTGGCAGGGAACCGAGCCAAGCAGGTTCAGTGGACCAACGTCTACCAGGATGCCCTGGTAAGGACCCCCAGCCCCAGGGTGCGGGTGGCGACATTGGCCCCAGGGTCCCGCACAGCACATGCCCCCATCTCCCTTGCCAGGTGGGGTAATCCCCCCTCTGCTACCCACCCCTGGCTCCGGGTCCCAGAGCAGGCAAGGGGCCGTGGGACACCCTTCTGTGCTTTGTGCAGGGGCTGGGCCTGGTGGTGACGGGCACGCTGCCGGTGTTCAACCTGACGGAGGACAGCAGTGACAGGAAGGTAGGAGACTGTGGCTGCCACCACCCTGGCCGCACTGGGACCCCCGGTGTGGGGCCATGGCAGGGTGGGGAGGGTGCCCAGATGCTGGGTGCATGGCTACAGGGAGGGGGGCACTGGCATCCCTGGGGTGCTGCCTGCTCTGCACCCCCTCCCTGGGGTGAGACTAGGGGTGACTGCCATGCCCAGGACCTAAAATGGCCTTGGCTGGCTCTCCCGGTTCAATGGGGACAGCTGGCAGCTGTAATTCCCTGGGGGGTGCAGTGTCCCATGGAGGGCTGCTGGGGACTGGCACATCCCACCCTGTGCCCCTGCGGTGTCCGGATCCGACCCACACGTCCCCGGAGGGAGAAGAGGTCCATCCTCCTGTTGCCCCGTCTCCGTGCTGGCGGTGGCGGGTGACAGCCTTGCTCCCACCTGCCTCCTTCCCCGCTCTTCCTTCCAGAACCAGCTCATCCTGGGCGTGATGGGGATCGACGTGGCTCTCAACGACATCAAGAGGCTGACGCCGCGTTACAACGTGCGTGGGGTCCCCTTTCCCCTCCATCCCTGCCCTGCGCTGCCCGAGCCCAATGTGGGAGCCTGCTGCAGGGAGCCCTGAGCTGTGTCCCCAGCACCCTGTAGCACCTCCAGCAGTGCTGGCGGTAGCAGGGTGCAGAAGCTGTGATTGCAGGCAGGGACCGGGGCAGGCAGGTGGGTAGGGATCAGAGCTGGGTGATGCTCTGGGACCCAGAGTAGAGACGAAACCCTTGCAGGGTCAGCGGGGAATAAATCTTATCAGCCTGGTGGAAGGGGCAGCGGGCAAAATCCAGAGCCAGGGTGAGAGATGGTGTTGACCTGACAATAGTGATAGATGGATAGAAAAGGCTGAGCCCCGGGGCCGGTGTGGGGCGAGCTCTGCCTGCAGAGGTGAGGGTGATGGCACTGGCACAGCACGGCACGCCGCAGAGCCGCCTGGCCGGCCTCATCCCTCCTCCTGTCCTCCTGCAGCTGGGGGCAAACGGTTACGTCTTCGCCATCGACCTGAACGGCTACGTCCTGCTGCACCCCAACCTGCAGCCCCAGGTGAGGAGGGACCCGTTGGGGTGGCAGCAGCGGGGGTTAGCCAGGCCCTGTGGGACCTGCAGCTTCCTGGGGTTGTTAGGAGCTAATTGTGGGAACTGTGATGAATTTGCCTGGACTCAGCGGCGGCTGCAGGAGCCCTGAGCCCTTCCCCAGCTCTCCCTTTCTGCCTGCAGATCATCAATTTCCGTGAGCCGGTGACGCTGGACTTCCTGGATGCTGAGCTGGAGGACGAGAACAAGGAGGAGGTGGGCAGACCCGGGGGCAGCTTTTGGGGTACAGGTTGCCCCTCGCCCCCCAATCTGCAGTTGCAAAGGGCGCTCAGCCCCGCCAGCCTGCCCTGGGGAGCACCTTGTCCTACGGCACAGCTCCCGTGGGGCTGCGGTGGGGACAGGAGCCGGGTCACTGTCCCCTGGGTGCCAGCATGATGAGGCACCCCCAGGCTGCTCATCCCTCACCCCTGCACTCCGCGGGTCCCCAGTGCCACCCCACTGGGGTGAGTGCCTGCTGGCCTGTGGCTGGGCTCTGTGGCCCTCAGTTGCCTCCTCCATGCCTCCATGTCCCCCAGATCCGGAGAAGCATGATTGATGGGAATGACGGGCAGAGGTTCATCAAGACCCTCATCAAGTCCCTGGATGAGGTAACACTGCAGGGGAAGGGGGTCACAGCTGAAACGAGGGCTGCGCTGAGCGCCCAGCCCCAGCGGGAGGGAGTGAGGGGCTGTGTCCGGCACTGGGCTTGGAGCCAGGGTCCCGTGTCGCCGTGCCGGCAGGGTCCTGGCACCACGGAGGCCTGACTGGCTCCCTCTGACCCACAGCAATACATCGACGAGGTGTTCAGGACCTACACGTGGGCCCCCATCAAAAGCACCAACTACAGGTGAGCAGCGCTGCCAGCACACCCGCACTCATCCGGCATCGGCCGGACCCGCACCAGCACAGGGCTGCGGTCTTGTGCCTGCAGCTCGGGAGGTCCCCGAGGCCGTCAGGAATGTCTCGCATGGGCTGCGGGGTTGCAAATGTGCCATCGCATCATTGCACACAGCCGGCGTTGCTCTAGAGGGCACTCCCAAAAGTGCTGCCCGCCAGTATTTGGCACTACAGAGCTGGGCCACAGTCCCCAGGGCTTGGGACAGGCTGCAGGGCTGGTGTGGAAGGTGCCGGACAAGGGACAGCCCTGCCACCACCTGCCTGCACAGCCAGGGGCTCGCGCAGGTCTCTGCCTGCTGCGGGTTGGGTGACGCAGACGTGCGTCCACCCTGCAACACAGGCAGTGGCTGCAGAGGCCAAGGAGAGCTAAGCTTCCCTCTGCATTTATCACCCAGTTTGCACCAGTTTGGACCAGCAGGTGTGTACAAAAGACCCCACCATCGTCATGTCCATTCATCCTGCGAGGAGCCACGTGGTCCCCCTGCCGCCCAGTGTACCCTCCTCTTCCTCACCACCCAGCTTGGGAGGGGGACTGGCAAGGATCACAGCCACCTCCCAGCGCTGCCAGGTGTCCCCCGCACAGCCCTGGTCCTCTCCCGCACGGTGGCACCCCTCCGGAGCCAGGCAGCACTGCGGAGGAGGGGACAATGACACAGAGTGACTCAGCCGTAGCCGGGGCTGTGGGTTGATCTGTAGGGCGAAAGGTGCTGCCGGGGTCCCTGCGCTCCTGTGGCTCCGCACTGCGGCAGGGATGTTTCCCGGGGTTCCCTGGGACACCATCAGCACAGGGTGCCACCATGGCTGAACAGAAAAAAAGTCACCACTCTCCTCTTGCCACCTGTAGTTTTGGGGTGCCGCCACCTCTGCCCTCTACGCTGGTGTGCCACCACCTCTGCCATGCTTTTTGGGGTGCCACCACTTCGGCCGTGCTTGCTGGGGTGCCCGTTCTGTGCTGCCAGGTGCAGACAGGACTAGCTGGAGGGGTGGCCTGGGGGGCAGGTCCAGGTCCTGGTGGCCCAGGTGCAGGTGTGACATCCGATGAGAGTCAGGAATGTGGCCCACACCTGCTGATGCTCGCTTATCCCGGGCAGCACCTGGCACAAACACCATCACCGAAAGCCACCGGCTGCTGCAGCTGGCACCCAGGAGCCCAGCTCCCTCTAGCAGCATGTCCTGTGGGTTCAGCAGCCCCAGCACCACCTCCTGCCACCTCCTTTCCCACCCTCATCTGTGTGCCAGACTCCTGGCTGGCGGATCCCTCTCCTTCCTGGCTCACCAGTAGCCGGTGCCTGTGTAATGGTTGTCTTGGGTCTCTCCTCACTGAAAGGTTTTGTCCCTTCTTTCAAGGGCTGCGTCTCTTCCCACCTTCCTCCCTTACGAGGGTGTCACGTCCCTCTTCCACATGCATTGGTTCCCGGGCGGGTGCATCCTGCCCATCTCAGCCCTGGCTGGACAGGCTTGCCACCTCCTGTGCTTGGGGCTGCCCCTGGGATGGCCCCGGGTGCCACCAGGATGAGTCTAGGTGCTCTGGGGATGGCCCTGGGTGCCCTGGGCACAACCCCGGGTGCCACCAGGATGGCCATGTGCAACCCAGGATCACCCTGGGTGCGCTGGGGACAAAGCTGGCAGCCCTAAGATGCCAGTAGGTGCACTGGGGATGGCCCTGGGTGCCACCAGAATGGCCCTGGGTGCTCCAGGATGACCCTGGGGGCTCTGGGGACAACCCTGGGTGCTCCCAGGACAGCGCTGGGTGCAGTCCCTGGAGAGAAGGATGCAGCGGGCTGTGCAAGAGGCCAGCAGGGCTGCTGCCTGCCATCGGCCGGGGCCGGGTGCTGCAGGGGGGTGCCAGGCAGGGGCTGGGGGCCGGCCAAGGGCTCTGGGTGGGTGTAAAGCCTTACACCGCCTGTCTGCTCTCCCCCTCTGCAGCTTGGGGCTGGTTCTGCCTCCTTACAGCACCTACTACATCCAGGCCAACCTCAGCGACCAGATCCTGCAAGTGAAGTGTAAGTAGCCCCCGGCTTTCCCCGCCACCCTCTCGCACTCCCGCTCACCCCCACGCTGGCCCGCGGCTGTTGGGGGGAGAAGCACAGAGCAAAAACTTGCGAAAAGAGATAGGGATCACTGTGAGAGGCAAAAAAAAAAAAAAGGAAAATGAAAACTGAGAGAGGCGTGAGTAGAGGTGAACGCACAGAGGGAAAGCGAGCTGCCTGCCTGGGGTGCCCCGGGGTGCCAGGGTTTGGTCCTTACGCTTTGCACCCAAAACCCGAGCCCCAGGCTGCAGGCAGGCGCTGCCCGGCACAGGCAGGGGCTGCGCCGCTGCCTGTTCACCTCCTGGGGACGAGGGATGATGCTGTAGCAGCCAGTTAATTTGCGAGCCTGGGAAAGTTTGCATGGATCTCTTTAATTTCCTTTGGTTTATTACAATTCTTTGGTTTCGGTTTAAGCCATTTATTCTTTTTATGAGTTCAGTTTCGGTTGGTTTCGATTTTCGTTTGGAATTAATCTGTGTACGTGTGTGTTAGCCTGGCCCCCCCTTTCTCTCTCTTTCTCTCTCCCCTGACCCCCGAGCCTTTTTCCCACCACAGGTCCACGCTGCTCCCGGGGACCCCTCTCCCCCGTGAGAGAACCGGACCCTTCCCCTCTCCCCTCCAGTTCCCCCCGTTTCTCCCCCTCGGCCGCCCGGGCGGCTCGGCCCTGGCCCCCTCCAGATCCAGCTCCTGCCGCCCCCTCCATCCATCGGCAGGAGCCCCACGTCCCCGCGGGGACGAGGCCAGGCTGTCCCTGTCCCCGGGAGGGGGGATCCCCCCATCCTCCCCGGCTCTGCCCACCGTGCCGTGCATGCCCCCTAACTCAGTGAGGACATTTCGATATCAAGACTGTTGCAACTGTTTGCTACTGACTCTCATTTTCCTTTGGAGTATTGAATATATATATATATATTTCTCTAGTTATATCTTTGCATTTTTTTTTATTCTTATTTCACCGTGGCCTTTTCTTTTCCTTTTGTTACTGGGTTTTTCTTTTTTTTCTTTTTTCATGTCGTTTTTTGCAAGAGGTTTCCTTTTGGTATGATTATGATACACAATATTTTTATTCAAACGGCGATTGAATAAAATATTGTTTGTGCCCCCCTTCCCCCTTTCCACCCAACCCCCTTTTTTTTTGTTTGTTGTTTTTTTGTTTGTTGTTTTTCTTGCTTTCTCTCTATGGTGGATTCACACAGTACCAAACATCAAAATGAAGGGCAAGTATTTTCAGTCTCAGACCACTCACCTTCACCACCCCGTCCCCTGCCCCGTGTCCAGTCCCCCCCCAGCCCCCCTGCTTGCCCATCTCCCTGCCCGTTTGCCACGCCAAACCTGCAAACCGCCACGACTCGCCCTTCCTCCCTCCTCCTCCTCCTCCTCCTCTCCTCCAGTTCCCCTTTATTTGAAAGCAACATGTCTTGTTCTGTCCATGAGAGCTTTGTCACGACGATCCCCCACTCCCTCCCCGTGCATCGCTCCCAAACCTGGTTCGATATCGTTCAAGAGCTGATCTCGTATGAAACTCTGCCGTTTTCAATCCACGAGGTTTTTTTGTAGCTAGTTTGATACCCTGCTCTTCCTCCTCCCACCCCGTTCTTGCTCCTCTCCCCCTGCTCGCCTCCTCCGGCTCCTTCTCCCCCTGTCCTGGCTCCTCTGCTTCCTCCTCCCCAAGACAACTCAACCTGAAAGGGATAGGGCTGTGCAGGGAGCGGGGGGCTGCGGGGTGGGCACCCAAAGGTGGCGGGGACGGAGGGCAGGTGGGGGACCCAGTCCTCTGCCGCGGTTGCCCTCTGGGACAGGCTTTTTTGGGGAAGCCCCCACCCCCCCAAGCAGAAACCCTCGGTGGAGGTGGGGATGGGACCACCCCGGGGTGATGCCAGCCCGCTGCATAGGGGACGGCGGGCCTGGACCCACAGGGACAGGGGGTGGCTGAGCCCCGGGGTGCCGCGCTGCCTGTCCCCACGGCCGCTCGGTGGCCGTCCCCGCTGCCCCGGGGCCCAGCACGGCACGAAGCCCCCGGCAGCCGCAGCGTCCTGGTGCCATCTGTGCTCCCCAGGAGCAGCCGAGTTGGAGCCCAAAGTCCCACCGAGGCAGGTGGGGGATGCCGGGGCCGGTACCCCCCCTGCAGTGGAGTGGGACGTCACCCGTGCGACCCGGAGCAGGATTTTGGCCCACATCCCCGTGATGCCTGGCCGTTTGCCGGAGCAGGAGGGGCCCCGTGGACCCCCCAGCTCCCGCGCAGCCCCACGGTGGGCCAGGGGAATGCCCTGGCATGCACAGTCCCCGGGGGACCCACCGCCATGGTCCCTCCTGCACGTACCCCACACCGGGTGCCCGCTGGCTGCCTGCCCGGCAGCACCCGCTCCCCGACATGGGCAGGGGGACGGCTGTGGGGGGCACGGCAGAGCAGGGGAGGACGGGGGGGACGGGGCCAGCGGGGAGGTGGAAGTGTCACCCTCAGCCCTGTTCTATCAGCTTTGAGTTGCCTCCTCCCAGCGCCCCTGCAATGGCAATGCTGATGGACCAAGTACGAGTGTTTTGTACTCCTTTTCCTCTTCCTCCTCCTCCTCCTCTTCCTCTCATCGGCTTGTACCCAGCCCCTGCCTACAGCCCTCGGAGAGCAACAGTCCAACCTCTGGCTGTGCCGTGCAATGCACCGGGGGCCGGCGGGAGGGCGAGAGGGTGGCGGTGCCCGCCGTTGGGGGGGGGGGGGCCAGTGGCCCCGGAATGTCCCGTAGCACCCCCCCACGCCCCCCCTAACCCGGCTCGCCCCCGCGAGCCAAACCCCGCGTCCGCCGCCCCTCTGCCGGGGGGGTCCCCGAGAGGCACCCCAAACCCTGCTGGGCTGCGACCCCCCCACCCCCTTAAAGCAGAGCGAGGCGCCAGGCTGGCGGGCGAGCGTGGGTCCCCGTCCCCGTTGGGGTCCCACCGCCCCAGGGAGGGAGGGGGGCCGGCGGCAGAGCCCGGCAGCACATTGCATGGCGCTTTGCTGGGCGGGGAGCCTCTGGTTGGACTGTCCTCGGCAAGGTTCCCCGTTTGGCCATGTCGATGCCTGAAAACTCGTTTTTTTTGGTTTTTGGTTTTTTTTTTCTCCCGACAACCAAGTGTTTTGGTGATCCTCCTCCGGCCAGGAGCGCAGCATGCGGTTCCCTACCCTCGCCCCCCAACCCCCCCAACCCCACCCCGAGAGAGAGACGCGTCCACGCCCTCCCAAACATGCATATATATACATGTGCGCGCATATATATATGTGTGTGTGTCTCTGTGTGTCCCTGCGTACGCACCACCGGCCGCGCGTACGCAACCGCCCGCCTTCAGCCCGCGACCGAGCAAATTCGAGCCGAGATGGGCAAACCTCTCCCGATTTGGCTATCACTTTCCTTCCCGTGCGGTGCCAGCGACAGCAGAACGGCCTTTTCCTTCCTCTCTTGTTACCAAGAGCAGCAAACGCTTTTCTTATTTTGTTGTTGTTCCCTCCCCTCTCTCTCTGTCCGTCTCTCTCCCTCCTGGCCCCCCGGCGTCCCCGTCCCCCCTCCCCGCCGGATAACCTTCCCTTTCTGTTGCAGATTTTGAATACCTGCTGCCCAACAGCTTTGAGTCGGAGGGACATGTGTTCATTGCTCCCAGGTAGCTTTGCGTGTGCGCTTGCCGAGGTGTGCATCTGCCCCGGCCCCGCTGCCGACACCCCCCCAACCATCGCCCCCCCATCCTCGCCTCATCGTGCCTTGTCCCCCGTCCCCGTCCCCTGTCGCTGTGTGTGTCTTGTGCCCGCTCGGCCAAGGGGGGCTGCCGCCGGGACCCCGGCCCCGCTCCGCCACCTGGTTGCATCCAGCACGGTATATATGCACCCGGTATGGCCCGACCTCTGCGCGTGCATATATAGGTATAGTTTCTGAAAATCCCCCCCACCGAGCAAGGGGCCGGCGGTGGCATCATACAGTCGTGCTGGCTGCGGGGGGGTAGGGAGGAGGAAGGGTAGGTTTCGGCTCAAATTCGGGATGCCCAGGGGGTCTGGGGAGGCTGCCAGCAGCAGGCTGCGAACAGGGACGTGAGGACAGTGGAGTGGCCCCCGGACAGACAGACGCGTCCCCTCCGCTGGGCCGTGCCACCCAGTCTTGTCACCTAGCAGGGATGAAGGGCCATCCCTCGGCGGGCTGTTTGGGGAGCCCCATGGCTCTGCCAGCACGCTGCCCTACCCACTGCGGCAGTGCAACCTCTGACCAGCCCTAATTAACATTACCAGCTAATCACCTATGTACTTACACATCGTTACAACAGCTAAATGCCCCATTAGGTGTTTTATCATTGCAGTTCTTGGGGACTGCAGCAGGTCGAGGCCACAGCGCAGCCGCCTGTGCCACCTGCGGGTACCCCCTGCCCTCCCTGCCTACAGCAGCCGTCGCTCACTTACCCTAATTCTGGGTAAACCAGCCCAAAACGTACAGTTATTGTGCAGCCACGGCTTTTCGGGTGGGACTTGGACCCCAGGCGATGCACGGGGCAGCGGGGGTGAGGTCTGGGAAACATGGGAGCCAAAGCGGAGCGTTAATAAGAAACAGAAAAACCTTGTTACTAAAAAATTGTCCCATAAACGTGCTAAGGGAATAGATACGGAGGTGATGTCTGAGCCCGAGGCCCAAGGAGTGGGTCTGCCCCCCGACTGCCCCTCTCGGGCTGTGGTGATGGGGTCAGCATCCAGCATGGGTCTCTGCGGCTGGTGTAGCCGGAGAGAAAAGCAGGCTGTGAAAATGGGGGTGAGCCCTGCAGTGCCCCCCAAAGCGGCTCTGGGAGCACCCTCCCTGCGACGGGTGCCAGCTCGGCAGGAGCGGGCGGCGGGGAGGTGCTACGTGCCGGAGGGGTGCCCGGCACCCAGGGCGACTGTATGATCTGCCGTCGGCGCTGCTGTGCCCACGGGCCGCTGGAAATTTTCAGAAACCGTATATCCCCCGTCCCCCGTGGGTGTGTGAGTACCTGTATCTGTGCGTGTCGGTGTAGATATTTAGGTGGCTGCTCCCTCAGAGCGGGGGGCGGGGGGCCAGGCTGGGCTGGCCGGGGTGCCCCAGCTTTTTCGGCTGCCCCATGGACATGCTCCCTTGCCACCCTCTGCTCCGGCATTTGTCCTCTTGACAAGTTTTTGGCAGAGTCAGGAGCTTGGCGGAGGAGACGTGAGCAAGGGGAGCCCTCAGCCCCCCCGGCGCTGCCTGCAGCCGCACCATTGAGGCCGGGAGGCTCTCGGCACCCCAGGGTGGCACTAACCCGTGCCATCTGGTTAGAGCCTCGCGGTGACCGACGGGGTCACGGCTGTCCCCGGCATCGGCGGGGCTGGGGCTCTGCACTCAGGGTGGTCCCAGACCGGAGCGGGGACGCGGCACCCCCCGCGATGCCCGTCCCAGAAGGGGCTCGGGGCCGGCGATGCCGGCGGGCGAGCGCCCGTCTCCGCCGGCTGGTCCTCACCCAACACCTAACTATCTACGCAAAGGGTACAGATACGGCTGCCGAGTGCCTGCGTGGTGCCACCGGCGCAGCTGCGGGGACTCTGGAGGCAAACCCCCGCTTGCACCCGCAGCAGAGCTCCTGCTCCCCGGGGTGCCGCAGGGGCAGGGCAGGGGGGGCACGGCGGCACCCGCCTGGCCCAGCAGGTAAGTACGGTGGCAGAGGCACCCAGTCCCACTAAGTAGCCCCACCAGTACGGGGAGAGACAGGCTCAGGGTTGTACCACTCTGGGCAAACTGGGATCCGTCAAACCTGGCCCTGGCAGAGGTGACGGCACCTCGGTGCCAGCGGCAGTGACGGACCCGGTGGCCGGCGTGACGGCCAAGCCGGCGGTGCTGCAGGCAGCGGAGGGCTGGGTGCCGGGCAGTCTGCAGAGATGCCCGCAGCCGGCTGCCTCGGCAGGGTGACACTCACGAGAGCGGTGGCACGTCACCACCGTCGTGTCCCCCGGCAAGCCGGGGTGCTGGCAGCACGGCCAGCGCCCGCCCCGCCGTCCCCGGGGGAGAACTGACCTTGCCTTTTCCATCCTCGCGAACGACAAACCTTGTCCCCCAAACCCCAGAGAGTATTGCAAAGACCTCGACTTGTCGGATAACAACACCGAGTTCCTGGAAAACTTTATTGCCCTCATGGAAAAGGTGACCCCAGACTCCAAGCAGTGTGAGTAGCTGGGGGGGCTGGTGGGGGGGCTGGTGGGGAGGTCTGGGGGTACGGG